TTGTATTTTGTATATTCTAGTATATATTTGTACACATGCTGTTCACTTGGACTTTGTTTTTTTTTTGCCAGGTGGCTTCCAAACACAGATCTACAGCCGTTTGGAGGATGTGCCCAAGGGACCTGCAAGTCATGATCGACACACTAGCAATGTGACACACTAGCAACTGTTTCCGTTTGGCATACTGTAGGCGGAAACTAAAAACTGCCCCTGCTTTAAAACTCTTGACATGTTGATCGTCAGCCAATTCTCAACGCCTTGCTTCACCACAGTCACAGGAGAAGGACCTCATGGTGGGGCTGGCAAACTTGCACGCCCCACGAAGCAGTGAAACAATACAAAGAGATCTTCACAGAAAATTAGAAACGCATTGCGACTATTGAAGTTGCTGCGACTGTTGCGACTTTGCAGTCTTTGAGTCTTGTGTCGATTTCCCCGATTACAGCAATTGCAGGCTCGCTTTGGGATATCACTACTTGAAGGAAAGACGTGGCTCAGAGTCCAAAAAAAACAGAAGCAGCCTTCACAAATCTCCGAATTCGGCCTGTTTTTTTGATGGTGATCCTGCTTGTCTTGATTGTCCTGGTACAAAGCAATTCATTTTTCATTCGTTTTTTTACAAAATGCGAATTTATCATATGATCCTGGACACTTCACTGTCCAAACAAGGTTAGAGAAGCAGCAGCCTCAGCCAAACAGTCCTCATATGCATGTTAGTGCTGGACACAACGTTGATGCACTGTATGCTTTGCACTAAGGCCCCTTCATAACACAAAAGCTGTACCCAGAGAGGGTGCATACTTTAACATGCTGCAGCAGGCTGGACTTGCAATGTGAAGTCTCACCCGTGCCTCACCGTGTTGGTTTGTTCAAATGATTTAAAGATCATGTTCCCCTTGGCTTCGTGGCTCTTGTTTGAAATTTGTCTACGTAGCACTTTTGGGCCTGTTGGAATCTGCTGTGACGCAGACCTACTGGTTGGCTCTGCACGTGTGGCTTGTCCATTCCAAGCAGCATATGATTCAGGACTGCCTACAGACAGGATGACCAAGTTTCTTTGCATTATTCTAGATTCTAGGTAGATTCTGCTTTATCACGATTTGCACATATTGCAATCAGTCTCACCCTTTCCTGGAAAAGAAGTTGGTTGTACCAGAAGGATTGGGGACAGGCCAACTTACACACACACACATGTATCCGTCCCCAACGAATGAGGTGGTCGCATGTGGTCGCCTACTGCACCATCAAGTCTCATTCTGCAAATTCCGAATGAAGCTACGTATGTCCGTATGCATGGGCATCATGTGCCGTACGTCCTGTGACCGGATAGTAACCAACAATGATACACGCAGATAGATGTGGAATCATGTGGGACCCCTAGCTGCGACCATTGCGCCCAGGAGCATCCCTCGTAGGTACGTTTACACACCTGTCAATGACGGTTTTTTTTGGCTGAACATCCCACAACGTTCTTTGCACAAATCTTGGGCTTGGGCAATCTGTAATTCTCGCGGGAATACGCAACTACGAATAAGTCGCAATCGAGCAAATAAACCACTCAAAGGAGCTCGAGACGTGCTGGCACTCCGCATCGAACGTAGTGGTTTCACCCAGGGCAAAAGTAAAGTAACACATTGTTGACCAGCATCCACATTGAAACCAAGCGCCTCCTGTCCTTCTACCACTTCCAACAAAATAGGAGAAGAATAAAAGTGTAAATTCCAGAAAACGCCTACATGTGTTTGGCATCGACTATGTTGAGAAATCAGTAGAATGCGATTGTCCACATATCGATGATGCAACGAACGATCCCAAGTGAAGGGTGAAAAAGAGAGATGATAGTTCCATGCACGCTGTACCACGGCTGAACAAAGTACAGGTGCAAACTGAGATCCCATACTGGCTCCCCGACATTGTCGAAATACTTGGCTCCCGACCATAAAATAGGAATTATCCAGCAAGTATATTGAACAATAGCAGGAATGTGTCTCAATGTAACAGAAAAATATTGTTTTGATTTGTCTCTCCAACGACCTTGAAACACTCTGAGATAAGGTTCCAAGAATGTGAGCCTGCAGGACAGTGTCTAAACCTTGTTCGGTTTTCTGTGCATACATGTACACGACATACTCAGTGGCGTCAAAAATTCTGGAATGTTGTACTTGATTATAAATACCAGCAATGTCTGTTTGATGCAAGCAATACGCAGACTCCGCGAAGGACTCCATAGTAAACAATCGACGAATCCCTTCAATAACAGCTCGTGCATCCGGAAATTCCAAAATGGACCGAAAGACAGTGTTCAAAATTTCGATCAGAAGAGTAGAAATCGCACGTGCCCAATTTCCTATCCCAATCCACAATTGGTCGAGCTTTTGCAAAATCATGGGTAGGTTTAGGCAAAATATATCCTTTGCTCAATGTCGACTTACGAAAATCTAATCCCCAGGAGTAAGTTTGTTGAATCCAGTGAGGCACTTGCAGCTCTAAATTGCGCAGAACTTGTTGTGCTGGTTGAGAGCAGCGGAGAAATACATCTTCATCAAGAAATGTTTTGGACATCAAACAGTGGGCTGTCAAGGAATGGGGAAAGTGATCAGCCGGGGAAACAACCCAATGTTGCAACCTATTCAATTGGCGTCGAACATGAGAAAGTTCCACTTCTCTGATAAGGTGACAGCAGTCTGAAATCGATGCCATTCTTGGGTCAAGAAATACTGCCAATATTGCATCAAACTGGACGGCAATTTCGATTGATGTAAAAACTTTTCGAAAGCCTGAGTATTGTGGGCCAAAAATGAGGACTGTGAAGGACAAAGTTCATCTTCCATGTGTGCAGCAAATAATGGAACGTCAGAAATGTCCGAAGCAAAACAGGAAATGTGTTCAGTGGATCGTTTTTTCATCTGAATGGACATGGGAAATGCAGCACAAGTGCACCGAGGACTGTGATCTGGATGCCACCATTGTAAATATTTACGAAAATTGAAACAAATCTGGGCCAGTGTAGGACCTTTGATTGCAACAAACGGAGCTCGAACTTTGTGAAATGGTGGAAAAATATGTTGATGATGAAAGGTAAAACCTAAAAGCCAAGACCGAATTGCTGAATTCATCTGATCACCCAAAATGTAAAGGCGCATAGGAATATTTGGAGGAGGAGGAACTGTTCCACGAAATGTCAGAATGAGTTTCAACTGAGCTCTGGCACGACTTCGAAAAGGTTCTGTCATAGTTCGACACATGCGCCAAGAAGATAACAATATGCTGTAACAGCGCGGGCGGAGTGAAGAAGCCGAGAGCAATCAAATTTGGAGCGGGTATCCGATCCCAACATATAGAGAAAAGCAAAAATCTGCGTGTTATCATTCAAACGATGGGCCAAATAGGAAATCTGGGTGGATTTTGAACGACGTAAATAACGTCGAAGGAGTTTCTTACCAGTCAAACGATGACTTTCAGCCTGTGGTAGTCCAAACTGTTGACGACCAATATGCCATTTCTTCAATAAGGGATTAATCCACGGCCAATTCCACTGGGGACGCAGGGTCTGTTGAAAAGAAGCTTCCATAGCTAACAACATGGTCGTATCACATTGGTGAGTAGGAAAAATAGCAAATTCATAAAAATTCCGGAGGCGATACCAGAGTTTCAATGCAGGTTCAAAGTAACCCAAATGGCCAGAACAAAGTTGACGGTATTTGCGAAGTCGAGATTGTTCTCGATGGAATACATCAGTCTCAGTGCAACCGATGTAGAACTGACCATTGTCGAAATGAAGTCGCATGTAAACCACATTGGTACTGTTCCGCCAATCCCAAGTAAACTCTGAGGGCAAATGCAGTGTCTGAAAAATGGCCAACAAACGGCGAAAACGTTGAGTATGCGAATTCAACACAACACGACAAACTGTCCACTGTGCCAATATCTATAGCAAAATCTTCTGAAGATACCAAGGTACAGCAGCCTATTGTAGCAAAATACTGATCAATCGACAACCAGGCAACAAGGTTTGGAATTCCTGCTTGTCTATAGAATTGAAACAGTGAAGTCATCATCAACTTCCATTCATCTTGCGGAGGAGCCAAGAAAGTGAGCTTGCTTGGCCAAGTTTTCAATTCAGCACGATGTGCCTCATAAAAGGCAACTTGTTGAGCATCAACCTAAGGAACTTGTTCCATCACTTGCAAATTTCCGATTGCCGGCCCTGTTCCATCCATTGTGTGGTGGGCGTACCCGCCTGCCCAAAAAGAAACCTAAGTGCTGTCTGTTTGTTGCAGACGTGGAATTCCTTGTTGGGGACCCCCAAGTCGCTGTGGTAAGAACTGTTGCTGTGTATATGATGAAACAAGCACTCCTGATGAGTATTGCTGGCTGACGTTCGTGAGAGCCGTTGGCTGGTGTGTGAGCGGTGTTAATTGCGCTGCTGGTGCGGTTGGAATGGGAATGGTTGGTGGTGGTGGCGGTGGTGACGGTAACACCAATGACCTGGTGCAAATCTGGTTGGTAGCAGCGCTGGAAGTGGCGGAGCTGCTGCTGCTGCTGCTGGTGGTGGTGGTGGTGGTGCTGTTGTTGTTGTTGTTGTTGTTGTTGTTGTTGTTGTTGTTGTTGTTGTCGTTGTCGTTGTCGTTGTCGTTGTCGTCGTCGTCGTTGTCGTTGTCGTTGTCGTTGTCGTTGTCGTTGTCGTCGTCGTCGTCGTCGTCGTCGTCGTCGTCGTCGTTGTTGTTGTTGTTGTTGTTGGTGCTGCTGCTGCTGCTGCTTGCGCGTAGACATTTGGATCTGTCGGCTGTTTTGGAACATGTACGGGCGCTGAAGTAATGTATGTATTGCAACGGAGGAGGTGAACTAGGACGTGGTGATAGTTTCTTGGAATGTGCATGTATCACAGGTTGGACGTGATCATCCGATGACAAGGATCTGGATTTAGAGCTCGCCTTTCTGAACTGTTGGCCACGACTGCGACGGCGTGGGTGTATTGATATCCTAGACTTTGCTTCTTGCTTGCTGACAAGTTCACCTCCAGGACGATTTATTTCTATGAGAAGAATCAGGTGAAACATGTCTGGGTTATGGGCTATCTGGAATCTCTCTGTGTCCAATCTCTGGACCTCTGATCTTCTGTCTGTGAGGATCCGGTAGCAACTTGAAACCACCCCCAAAATAGAAGTAAGTGGTGGTTCGACATGGCTGCACTTAGAAGCAAAACATTGAAAATTAGTTTCAAACTGTCAGCTACCATTGACCGGATTGTTGTTGATTCTTGTGTGGCTGATAAGTTCCAATTGTTGTAGCACGGACGTCATTTGTGATAAGCACAAATGGCAGCAGCGGAAACCACATTAAACATGAATTAGCATCAGTGATCAAGTGGGAAAAATAACGGGCTATTTCTTCCGAAAATCAGGACCATTCATTGTAAGTAGGGTGGTGCTGAGTATTGAAAAAAACAGATCAGTGTGCATGTCTGCTTCAAGTAAACAATGATGTCAGGAGCCAGCATCAATGCTCGGCCTCACATTTCCGACAATTCAGGATTCAAACAAAGACACGGACATGTCTCCTGCAGAAGCGGCTTCCGACAAAAATGGTGAACTGGAAGCATGTCACAAAAAATGTGACGTTCGGCGAGAACACGGGGAAAACTGGTTTGTTGGTTTTTTGTCTAAATTTGGATTGTTGAATAGAGGTTCGAGAACGTCGTGTAGACGTAAATATTCCTGTATCTTGTTTACCATCAATTTTCAGGGTCTTAAACCAGTGAACTCAATGTTCAACTGGTGAAAAATGTTTGCGTTGAAAGATGGTGTTGGATGAACATTTCTGACATGCTGCAATGGAATCTCGGACCGTACGGGATCCAACCACTATGGAATCGAAATACCGGAGAGCAACCGATGGAAACAACCCGGCACCCCTGGTCACATCCGTCCCCACCTAGTGCTACGTATGCTGTATGCATGGGCATCATGTGCCGTACGTCCTGTGACTGAATAGTAACCAACAATGCCCAGCTGCGACCATTTCAATTGTGGCGTTCGTTGGCCGCAGCGTCAAAGACAAGCTTGCGGCCCCCCGGCTTAAGTAAGAACCGCAAACCTGAACATCTCACACGTTTTTTGCCCTTAGTAGACAGGGTTTGACACGCACACACACACACACACGCACACAAACGTTTTGTTTTACTCGCAGGAGAACGAAGGTCTCTTTGGAAGCGCCATTTGCGCCTTGATTACGATCCTTGGCTGCAACTCTGCCTTTTGCAAGGCAGGCGATTCTTTGTGGCATTCTTTGGCATCCAATTTTGACATCCAAGGAGAAGAGTGTTTGAATGGTCTTGGCTGATAGTCCGGCTATGGCTCAAGATGCTCGATTGCTCTAATGATTTGATGGCAGTCAAACGATGACCTTTGCTTACACTCAGCTTGCTCTGAAAGTATGTCAGAAACCACTCGCACAGGTACCGAACTGGTTTCACAACTGTGACATTTTTGATAGCTTGGTAATCCGTATAGTCTGTAACCACTTCGTTCAGAAACCCACCCGTTTGAGGAAAAATAAAGCATCAATGAAAATCACGGCATAATGCAATCCATGGACCGGACTTGACGATCGGGAGGGAATTTGACGACCTTCAAACTGAAGATGTCTTCTGTTCATTCTTTTGTTTGACTCCTGCTTTATATGTTTGTCCTAGGCAAGAGGACGTCCCGGCAAAACTGCCTCGTTTGAGCATGATGTAACATTTTGCCTCCACTTGGACCTATATCATGTTGCAACATCTTACACATATCTTGAAACTTTACTGTATCACTTGATTGATCAAGTGCCCAACTGCAATCTCTCGTTGACTTCCACATAGAAGTTTATGAAGAGGCAACAAAACACACAAGCAACTTAAACAACCACAGTGTTCGCTTCTGCACTCCAGATACCTCTTGGACGCAGCTCTTGGCACAGAAATGAAACGTATAAAACAGGGGAGTGCCAATCGTGACAGTTTTTCGAACACCTTGCCTTGGAAAATCCCAGTATGCATAGTCTTGATACGTTTGTGCCTGCTCGAGGTTGCAGCTGAACGGGTTGCAGTGTGCATCAGCGGAAGGATCCGTGCGATTCGGGTGACAGGAGAAACCCAGAGAAGGAACTTTTATGATCCGCTTTGTGGTGGCTCATGTGAACAGCCAAAGCATACTGTGGATGTTTTCATGGCTGGACCACTGCAGTCTAACGCCCAGCTGGAGGCCGCAGCTAGCATGTTTCCCAGCTATCCTTGGTTGGTGAAAGCAGTTCGCTTCCACGATGAATCTGCCGTTTTACAACACCTGATTGCAACTTTCCCGAAGCAACTGCAGGAAGCCCTTCAGATTGGAGGGAATTGGCTCGGGACTCTGAAGCGTCGTATTGTCATTCCCGGCACTCACCGAATTCAAAGACGCAGCGGCCCAGGCATCTTTGCCCTCTGGGTTTACAAGCAATGTCTTGAAATGATTGAAGCACACGAAGAGCTACTTTCTCTGAAGTATGATCGTATGGTCTTGACCAGAACGGATTTGCAGTGGGACTTTCCACATCCACACCTAGACGATTTGCCCCTAGCTTCGGCTTGGATACCAGACACGCTGGAAGATGATTGGGGCGGCTTGTATGATCGCCATATCTTGTTTCCTCGCTGGGCTGCCAAATGGGTGCTTGGAGGCTGGTTTTTGCTCACCTCTGGCAGGGCATTCCAAATGATTCTGGATATTCTGGGGTCACGAGCCTTGTCATCGAATACCACAAATACTGAGGTCTTTCTGGCAATCAGGCTGTTGACAGGAGAAGTCCCAATAGCCCGCTTTCCTGCTACAGCCTACCTAGCTTGTGATGTGTCAGAGTGGCGTACACCAACTGGGGCTGCCGGGGGAGACAGCAGCTTCCACGGATCAAGGAGTACAAACTTTGCGTGTGAACCTGGCGGTTATCGCTATCCAAAAGAATGGGCTTCTGTGCAAAGCTTCTCGGAGTGTTTCAGATCGCATGAGAGCAGACCCTGGTCTCGAGCCGTGCAAGAGTGCTACTGTCCACACATTGGCCACGATGTCAGGACTGAGCAGAAGGAACTCTATCAGATTTGTGATGGTAATGCGTGAAGGACACAGAGGCAGCAAAGGATCCTTCAAGACTCATCACCATATCTTAGTCCTGCAGGGTCCAAGAGGAATTCTTTGGAGGCTGCGTTTGTGACTGCCCGTGAACGCTTCTGCATACTGCATTCAGCTTGAGACAAAGGAGCCAGAGCCAGGAGCTGTGCTGGAGCTGTGCTGGAGCTGTGCTGGAGCTGTGCTGGAGCTGTGCTGGAGCTGTGCTGGATGAAGTACGCAAGAACTGGCAGGACCCGTGCCACGCGAGCAAGTCATGCAGGAACTTACAGACTCTGCATGCAGGAACTCAAGCTTTGAGGATTGACTCTATCGACCCTGCAGCAAGACTGCTTCATTCCTGTAGAACGAATGTTTCTGCATCAGTAGTGTAGTAGTGAGCAAAAAGATGCAAAAAGTCTATTTTTGCCCGGATGCATGTTTGTGATATATGCATACATCACATGAATCGTTCTACTGCGTCGACTGACCTTACGACAGGACATGGATCGCCATGGATTGCCATGGCCATGCCCAGGCGATGAGCATTGGGACAGAGCTTGAGCACTTCATGGAATATGTCTTTGGATTTTGTGCTGCTCTGGACGAGGCACTCGGAATCTACGTAAATCTACACAGCATTTGTCACAATTGAATGCTGCGAAATCAAAGCCATATAAGCCATGCTTAACACTTGGTGAAGCACAGTAGCTTTTTAGAATTTTCATAAGGAGCGTTTGGACGGAGAAGATGGCTGTCTCTTAGCTTTTTTTTTTTGAGGCCTTTTTGCAGGAGGCACCTGAGGGCTCTGCCAAAGCTGTCAGGGTACAGGAGATTTCGTGATCTGCCTTGGAGCAGTCAGCCGAGTGCAACAATGTCTTAAATGACCCAAGAATGACCAAAGCCCTTGGACAAAAGCTGCATTTTGTTCAGTTTCTGACTGAAATGTGCCCAAGACATCCCAAGACATAAGCAAAGTGGCTTGGCACCTCGATTGTGCCAACTCCCTGAAAGCACCGAAGGACAATGAGCTGAAAGAAGGTCAAGTTGGTCTTGTTCCCTGTGTCAAGGAAGAGCCAAGCTTAGCACAGCCTCAAAGCGGGATAGAGAGGATAGAGACAAGGCAAAAAGAGCCAGTTTGGTTTACATTTTTTTTGTGTCCATTGTTGCTGTGGACTTGTGATTTTTGGCAGAAAGTGTTAGCTGCTTGAGGTTCTTTGGACAAACGTATTTTTCGGAGCTTGTGCACGCGACCACCAACACTTGGAAGAACTTGCGGTAAGCTTGGCGTGTTGCTCTTGAATTTAGTCTTCCGATGTTTCTCCTGCACATCTTGACATTTTGGACTTTGGCTCTGGTGAGAAGCCAGGTCTACTTGATCCGGCAAAGAATAGCACTTGAAGCTCTTCCGCGCACTGCCTTCTTGACTGGGAGGAGATCAGTGAGAATACTACTGTTTTGCTGATTTTGCTGCACATCTTCAAGTCATGGGTTTTTGTTGTTCATGTGAAAGTCTGTGACTAGCACCAGGATGACGTGGGCAGACTTCCCACTGAAGGGTCAGTGATGCCAGATTCTTCTTGTCCGACTCCTTTGCAACATTGACTGTCAGCAGAAAAACTTTCTACTCTCTGCTTTTTCATTGTAAACCTTTGTTTGTTTTGTTGCTTGGCAAATTCAATTTTCGAGTGCCCCAAGGAGTCAGGGGCCCCCAAACTGTAAAGAGACATTTTTGGACGTTTGATGGAACAGGACTTTGAGCAAGGAACCAAAATTGATGTTCCCTCAAGTTCTGAACCAATTCTGTTAGCTGCAGAAAAAAGGACCTGATCCTTTTCACTTCTTCTGCTTGGTGAGAATTTATGTCAACAGAAGAAAAAACTTTCCATGTCTTTCGGTTTTGGCTCAGACAGTGCAGGTACAATGAACCATTTCTTTTCCAGCTTTGACCAGCCAAACCAGAAGCCTCAACATTACAAATTGCAATGGAACTGGCAGGTACATGCAGAACCTCTTACTGTAGGCAGTTGTTGACGACCGGGTAGGATGCCTATAAACTCCAGCGAAGATGACTTGGCTATCTATTTTGTGAACCTTTCATACTGACAGAAACATGAGATCAAATACGAGTAAAGCCGTAAAGCCTGTGTATTTATTGACGCATGCAAGTTGGACTACTCGAAGCTGCAAGTGATCAACAGATTAACCAGCTATTTGCCATACAAACAATTGATACATATGGCATGGCCAATGTGCCATCCTACGTGGCAGCAGTTGACGATGAATCTGCCATTGGGGTTGAAGCAAAAGTCAAGTTTTTGATTCCATTTATTTTTTCTGCCAAATAGGATCAAATAGGTTTAGTCTTCCCATGCATTATTCCATAATTCCATATTATTGCGTTACTTGTCCAAGCCAGAATTCAGGAATGCCAGCTTCTTTGCGAAGCCGATGAGCTCTGTGAGGACAGCACGCTGATCACCCAATTTGAATGCGAGGTCTACGGCCTTCCTTCTGCGTTGGGAACTGCGACTCCTGAGGATTCTCAGCAAGATACATACCAAGTTCGTCGGCTTCGGGATCCCATAGCTCCCATAGCTCCCGAAGCTGGAGCTCAAAGATCTCAAAGTACACTTAGTGGACCTAGATCACCTAGATCCGAGAATTCCATCGGCTCAAGTCTCCGCAAGGTGCTCTTGGCCACCTATGCATCTGGAAAGATTTTCGAAGAAACACAACAAAGACTGCACGAAAGCCTTGCAGTTGCTGAAATTGCAGAGCACTGGGCTTGGAATCAGTCAATGTTTCAGGGCTCTGGCAGACATGCGGACTGGTACAAACAACACGAGCGCGTGAACTTTCGACGAGGAGGTGCCTGGAAGCCTTACATTATTTGGCAAGCACTCCGACGGGTCAAGTGGGGCGATTGGCTGGTCCTCCAGCTGAGAGCACTTTGATAAATTCAGTACAATTCATTCCGCAAGAAAAACATTGACCTGCATTTGCCATGTTGGTTATTGTTGCATTGCTCTCGCAGAATTTAGTCCCACAGCTTGCTTTGGACTTCAATGGACAGGATATACAACACGTCTCATGGGTCTCATGGCAAGGTTAATAGATGTTAATAGTGTGGCGACCCGAACACGGCTGAGGTTTATCATGATGCCTCAAGATATGTTCAAGAAGGCTTCAGCTCCTCAGTGCAGCCTCTGTTGTCTTGGCTGGAAGCTCACCGCTTGGACAATCCTTGCGAATGTCACGACCCCAGACGTGTCACAAAATGTATATGGAAGCGTTGAAGCCAGTTGAAGCTCACTCGGAGAGGCCACCCCACCTGGCAGGTTTACCTGCTGTGAGACTACGGCAAACCTTTGAGCATGAATGGTTGCAGCAATGCGTAGAGGGCTTAGCTCTCGAAAAATCAAGCCCAGACCTTACTGATTGCAAATGTATCGAGAAACACATCAGGATGGCACTGATGAGATGAGCACAACAATGCAAATGCAGTGAAATGTATTTAAATATATTCAAATGACCTATAAATTACCTAAATGTAATCCGAATGTAATTGAGCTTCAGTGGTGTTATAACACATGCAACTGCTGGTTCCTGCTTGTCAGAAGCAGGTACCTCCATATGGCAATGCACCTATCCCATCGCATCAGGCATGTGTCTACCTGACTGTGAGCATCCAGATCCTTTGTAGGGAAGTGGCATCTCATGTTCTTCTCAGTTTTGCAAGCAACAGTATTAGTAGTTTTTGCTCCTTCGCAATCAAAAACTGAACGACCGTAACACAATGGTATGCTATCCGTTGCATGTGCTTGTTGCATTCCATATACTTTTTGAGCATGACAGCATTGACAGCATTTGATTGAGAGGCCGCAGATGTGTTCTGCAGTCTGATGTCGAAGCTTGGCACTTGCAGGACAGGGCTCTTCTGTCGGTTTGATCTACACTACAACGGCCACTTGCAGGTTTGTTTGTCCTGAGGCATTTCCGGTCCTCTTTACATTTCATTTCGACATATTTCGACCTTTTCAGTCGCAAATTCCCTGGCAAATCATCCACAAAGAAATGGAAGATCGTGAGTCGTGACGTTTCAGATATGTCAATACTCGAAGGCCGAATGAGCCGAGCTGTTGCACCTGGAACTGGCACCAGTCCACACTGCAGCATGCTTGGTCCGTTTGGCCAAAGCCCTGGAAATGAAACGACTGGGACTGGGAAGGATTCGGAAGGACTCAGACTTTTCAAAATTGAAACAGCTGACACAACTAATTCGTCCTGGAGCTGTCAAAGACCATGATGTGCTGATCAATCACAGAATGAAAGATAAAGGGAATCGAGGATATAAGTGATATAAGAGTCGTAATTTTCATTAATTTTCCGCTGTCCACAACTCTCGGTCCACCATTTGTCAAAGACTTGAGTATCTTGAGTCCTGCCTCATGGTTGGATTGCTTGAACAGATTTTGGGGAATTCACTGAAGATGTCAAGCCTCCGGGCCATTTCAATCAATGGCGTCATTTCACTCATCAGACTCATCCCACCTAGTCACCTAGTGCCGCTCTTGAGGCGCAAGAATCGGCGCAGTGCCCGCTTTTTACGCGAGTGGGTGACTGACTTATTTGAAAAGGCTGTGTTCAAGAGATGCACATCATTGCACATCAACCCAATGCCAGACATCTATTTTGCACGTTTCTTTGTTGCGCTGATGCTTGTTTCACAAGCTATATGTCTTGAGGCTCGAGAAGCAGAGGATTACGAAAAGTTGGCGCGATCACCCCAATTTCTTCGTTCCCACTGCTCATCACTGCTCGTCACTGCTCACACTTGAATTCAACACCTTTCAGATGTGGAATGACCTGCTTCGGTTGCTAATGCTAATCTCTTGATGTGCGAGGCACCTTCCCTTTGTCGACCAGAGTCTCAACGCCCTTCTCTTCTACAGGCAGTTCCTCACAGAAATTGAATGGCAGCTCTGCACATCCCATGCTTGTCAAACTCACTTTCTAGTTGCAAGTAGCAGGTTGTACGAGATCTAAAACTCATCCGCATGATCCTTCATCAGTGAACCAAGCCTGAGCAATAAGAGTAAGTTGTTTGCTGTTCTTGACTTGGCAAGGTGGAAATCCCAGTTGTCCCTACGGGCATTGTGGGTCCCAAGTTTGTACCTCAATTCATGGAGACAGGAGGGGTTGAGGCTTGATTGCAATCGTCCCAATTGCACTTAGCATGTCTGTGTCTCGGTACAGGTTGCATGTACAGGAGCCACAATAAATCTAATTGACAGATACAGATGAGATCCACGTTTCAAATCGTTTCCAACATTGAGGGCCCGAGGCGAAAGTTGGGGAGGTACATGGCGAACTATACATTACATGGAAATCAATAGAAATCAATAGAAATCAATATAATGAATCAATAGAAATCTCTAGAATCTCAGAAATCTCATAGAAATCAGTAGAAATCCAATAGAAACTAATAGACATCACTAGAAATCAATAGATATCTAATAGAAATCAAGAGATATCGAAAGAAATCAATAGAAATCTAATAGAAATCAATAGAAATGAAGAGTCAATAGAAACCAATAGAAAACCAATAGAAATCTAATAGAAATCAATAGAAGTCAATAGAAATCTAATAGAAATCAATAGAAATCAATGATTAGAAACTCATAGAAATCAATAGAAATCAAAAGAAATCATTGAAAATCAATAGAAACAATAGAACTCAGTGATTAGAAACTAATAGAAATCAGTAGACATCGATGATTAGACACTAATAGAAATCAATATAAATCAATATAAATCAATAGAAATCATTAAAAATCAATAGAAATATATGATTAGAAACTAATATAAATCAATGATTAGAAACTAATAGAAATCAATAGGAAATCAACGATTAGAAAGAAACTAATAGAAGACGATAGAATTCAATAGAAATCAATGATTTAGAAACTAATAGAAATCAATAGAAACCACTAGAAACCAATGATTAGAAACTAATAGAGATCAATAGAAATCAATAGAACTCAATAGAAATCAATGAGTAGAAACTAATAGAGATCAATAGAAATCCATAGAAATCAATGATTAGAAACTGATAGAAATCAATAGAAATCAATGATTAGAAAATAATAGCAATCTAATAGAAATCAATAGAAATCAATGATTAAAAGCTAATAGAAATCAATAGAAATCAATAGAAACCAACAGAAATCAATGATTAGAAGCTAATAGAAATCAATAGAAATCAATAGAAACCAACAGAAATCAATTATTAGAAACTAATAGAGATCAATAGAGATCAATAGAAATCAATGATTAGAAACTAATAGAAGTCGACAGAAATCAATTGAAATGACTTGGTTGGACGGTCAATGACAGTCAATGAGGGTGTTGGTCGATGGCCGTTGAAGTTTGAAGAGTTGGGTGACATCGCTTTGAAGGTGAGGATCTCTCTGTCTGTTCCAAACGGGTCGGGTTGATCACTCAACATACGCAAAGTCCGTCATACATCAAAGAAGCACCTCCTTCGTGCACACCAGATTGGGAGGACATGGACTTGGGGAGTCTTGGCCGCTGTGATGGTCTCGTACTAAGTGCCAGTGTGTTTCTACTTCTTCCTTGCGACCTGTGAGAATTGATCAGATATGATCTGATTCGAGCGGAGTCTCAACTGTCTGAGACAGACTGTGCTGTTCTGTCTCGTTTTCTGTACTGCTTTCGACCTGAGGCAACATTTTCAAGCACCTGAACTTCATCTTGGATGAACTCTGGAACGAGGACAGCTCTGCTGTACTCCGTATGCTGTAGGAAGTGAGATAGCCAAGCGGTGCAGGGGGTCTATCGTCGTCCGCTACTCTTTCTGGTGGACCCTGAAGAGATGTCGCCCGAGGCATGTCGTGTTGAGAGGCAGTATATAAGGGCGGCCGCCCCTGCCGCCGACCCCGGAAGAAGTGGCAACGAATCAAAGCAAATGGGCATAAATATTCTTCGGTGCTTCGCACTTTCAGGTCTTCCCCCTTTATCCTACGAATATTTTTGTGAAATATATTTGATAGGTTTGAATGAAATATAGTTTATCAAATAGTTTGCTCTATATCCTAATATTTTTTTTTTGCCAGGGGGGCAGGGCAATACTTGAAATACAACTCGACAGGTTGATCAGGATGACAGCTTTCATATATATATATATATATATCTCTCTCTATTATTTTTGGCCCTATTATTATACAGATAGTGTTGCGCCGCACAGGTGCATGGTTGCGCCGCACAGGTGCATGATATTTTATCAAAGTATACGGGGCCCTTGTTTTTAGATCCCCCACTTTGTTTTTTAAACCCCTGACCTCTTTCTGCTGTTCTGCCGTTTTGCTTTTGTGCTTCTTTGTTTGTTTGTTTGTGTTTCTGCTTTTCAGCCTTTTGCTTTTGTTGCTTCTTTGCTTGTATACTTCTCTGCTTCTCTGCTTTTGTGCCTTTTGCGTTGCTTGCTTTTTGCTTTTCCTGCTTCTTTGTTCTTCATGCTTCTCTGCTTGACCTGCTTCTTTTCTTTTCTGCTTCTTTGCTTTTCTGCTTATGCCTTTCTACTTCTACTAGTACTATTCCACCTTTTCTTTTCATCAGTCATGCGTTTTTGCAGTTCTACTTTTTGTATCCGCATTGCAAATTGATAAAATTATTATATACAGGAATGATTGCAAACTGATAAAACGATGATGCACAGGAATAATTGCAAATTGAGAAAACTATGATACACAGGAATCATTAGATGTACAGGAACAATTGCAAATTGATAAAATTATGATGCACAGGAATGATTGCAAATTGATAATTGATAAACCTTGATGCACATAGTGTAAATCCTAACGCACCAACATTCATTTTGTTACACATTCAACAAGAAAGAAGGTACTCAAAAAGTCGACTTTTTAGGGACCTCCAATTCAGGTTATGACATGAGGTTGTCACCGCAGCAACAAACAGCCTCGTTGAAAGTATAGAAATTACAAAAAAGAAGCAAAATTATCAAATGATGATGCACAGGAATTATTGCAGACTGATCAAACGATGATGCACAGGAATGATTGCAAATTGATCCAACTATGATGCACAGGAATGATTGCAAATTGATAAAACTATGATGCATAGGAATGATTGCAAACTGATAAAACTATGATGCACAGGAATAAGTGCAACTTGATAAAGCTATGAGGCACAGGAATCATTGCAAATTGATAAAATTATGATGCACAGGAATGATTACAAATTAATAAACCTATGCACAGGAATCATTGCACATTGATAAAAATTATGATTCACAAGTACACAGAAATAATTGCAAATTGATAAACTATGATGCACAGGAATGATTGCAAATTGATAATTGATAAAACCTTGATGCACATAGTGTAAATCCTAACGCACCAACATTCATTTTGTTACACATTCAACAAGAAAGAAGGTACTCAAAAAGTCGACTTTTTAGGGACCTCCAATTCAGGTTATGACATGAGGTTGTCACCGCAGCAACAAACAGCCTCGTTGAAAGTATAGAAATTACAAAAAAGAAGCAAAATTATCAAATGGAACCCCCCCCCCCGGGGGGGGGGG